GAGTATATCATGAGTAAATAGGGCAGATTGGCCAATAAATATATCACATTGCATTCTAGTCTATAGAAAATCTAGTTGTTCAATCTTTAAATGAATATTCAGTTCCTGTTAAACATAGAATAGATATTGACTGGGTAGCATTTGAAAAGAACAAATTACTCCTTATTCCCTACAAAAGTATAACTCCACAAGGTCCACAACATATGCATTCTCCTTGTGCTACTTCACAGCCTGGATTATGCAAACTGGACTATAACATGTCTTCAAAAGTGGAAACATTCCAGAATCACATCATGTAATTCATGACCAACAATCACCTAACAGACTAATTTTTTTTAATTCCAAGTGAGAACATTTTAACAGTATTGTCCTAACAAGTCTTGCTACAATGTGTCATTTTTGCTGTGCTGCAATAATGCAGAAAACAAGATTCCCAAATCACATGTGAAACATGACCAACTCAACTAACAGATTGCATAAGGAAACAAACCCTTATGGACCTGAATTCATACAATATTTCTAAAAATCACATTGCACAAATGGATAAAAATAAATAGAGGTAATTTCCAGGACATGCATTGTTACACACACACACACGCACACACACAAAAAACTGACCCATATATTTCTGTAGGGTAACTTTTAAGATAAGCAGTCTTTGTAAGAAAAATCCTCAATATTGAAATTAATATTGAGCATTAATATCAAGATAAAAAAATTACAATTATTAAACGAGTTTAAAAACTTAACTTTCTGCTGATTTTGTTTTGCAGATGCTTTCCACTTAGGGGTTAGATAGTTCAGTTCCCATCTGCAAGAGTAGACAACTTCTGCAAAACTTGAAGTAGGAGGATAAGTTTTTGTTTTATTTGTTTACTAGTTTAATAATTATAATTTTATAGTTTAATAATTTTACTTTCATATACCAAAATAGTTTTATACTTTCTTATAGTAATTCTGAGATTTATTTATTTATTTATTTATATATTTATTTATTTATTTATTTTTTTTTTTTTTGTAAAGAATAGTTTAAATGAGTAAAGTGATAAAGAAAAGAATGAAAAAGTAGTTGTATTGATTTTGTGAGTTCAACTTATTCTGGTAAAGGCCACTATATTTGGGCACCCAGTGAGTAAAAAGTTACATCTAACAACCAGGTAGGCATGTTCTACATATTTAGTCATTTGATAACCTCGAGCCAACATTATCTATTATCTTCATTTGTTGTTCTTTCTTTCTTACATGAGAGTGGATCAATATGTCTGTGACCTGATATAGTTTTTTGCTGAATTTTAATCTGAAGTTTTCATTGTATAAGGTTCAATAAATTATATTTAAAATTAAATTGTCAATGAAATTGTTACAAAACCATAATATTAAGCTAAGAATTTTAGTCATTTTCTTAAATAGCCTTGTCAGATTGAGACGTTCATATGGATATAATGCATAGTACCTAACACGTTAACAAATATCTAATCACATTTTCATATACTGATGGTTAAAAATAGTTTTGAGTGAATAAAGCCTGTAGGTATTAGCAAGGACCATCCTTTTTTAAACTTTGTGGACTAGCACTACAGAATCAGAAAGAACTGTACCAAATCATAAGTCCTATCATTTTGAGGACTACCAACAGCAACAACTAAAATGGATATCACATGTAACTCGAAGAGAAAATAATGATATAATCATGTTGACACTCCACACAACCCAAAAGAAAAGGCTAGGAAGCAAACCCCATCTCTCAAGGCTGGAAAGAATAACAGTTAATGTATTTGAGAAACCTGTTTTCCTGAAAATTTGTTTTAAGAGAAAGATGTATAAATTTCAACTGAAAGTAGCACTAGCAGCTCAGTCAATGAATTCTAAATATTTCCTTGTAAGGGAGTCTAATATTACTATTAGAGATGAGAACAGCTACTACATTTGGATCTAATGCTGATGGCCAGGGAGGAGCAAAGAAAAGCATAACTTGAGTAGCACTGTCTGCCTCATTTAATTAATGCCAAATGTTTTCTTATAAGGAAATTGCTAATATGATCATTAATATTTGATCTGTGGTTAAGTGTTAGATTATGTTGAAAAAGTTGTGAAAGAGATGTATATCATCATCATTAGGCTATGGCCATAGAGATGTACCAGCATATTTCCAATCTCTACTCTATAAATGATATATAGGGGGGATTTTAGGCTTTTAGTGGAGAATTAGGACCATACATTGGCAGATTCAAAGTGTTGAAGTATTTTATCAGATGTGTACATAATTTATTTTTAAAAAATGGTTTTCGATTGTTTATTTAAATGGTTACAGCAAACCTTTTCATGCACCTTATAATTGAAGCCATAGCCCAAGATGTGAAATACAAGCTGGCGACAATCAAGCAACTGCAAAAATTTAACGATCTCAGAAGTATCTTAACAGGACAGAAAATGTGACAGCAAATTCTGAAGATGCATTGGAATGGTGAAAGATACTACCAAAAAGCTAAGCAAACTATTAAAAAAACATTTCATTATAAACAAGAGAGTACTAGACTGTTATATCAGTTCTCCTATATGGCATTGAATGCTGGATAATTTCATTCTCATCACAGATTTAGAGAAAATTAAAACAAAAATGACACTTCAACAGCAGATTTGAGCCAAATTTTTCCTGGATGTATTCAGCTTGTTGATCTTGAGTTGAGCAAGCCCTTCATTGAAGTCTTCGATAGATTTAAGGGATAGATTTGAATATCTTATGGTGGCCTTTCCTTTCACATTAACTCTGATTCAATGCTATTTGATTCCCAACGTATGTGTTGCTGGTGTTTAGCTTTTAAAGGTATGACATCTGCTGCAGCCTTTTTGTGAGAAGTAACAAAATTAATGTAGGTTGTATTAGATGCATCTGCTTATAGTGTTTCAAACTTATTCCTGACAGCAATGGTGTATTGGGCTTTGAGATGACTGTTGTTAGAAGAGACCAGTTATATAGTGGGAAGGCAGATGCTTTTTCTTATTGGCTTTAAAACTAAGTTGGTTGGCAGAAGAGAGTATCGGACGGTCTGAAGATACTTTTTCAAATGTGTTGAAGGTTGGGCAATTCATTGCAATGTTCTGCCATTTCTTGTTTATTGGGATGTGATCCAAATCGGTCTCTGTGCCATTGACATGGGTGATTGTCCATTGTTCAGAGCTCATTCTTTTGAAATTTGGTGGTTAGGCATGCAAGATTATTTTCCTGTATAAAGTCTTTAAGAAAAATCCCATTTCTCTTGAAGGACATTTGATATGTAAATTTGTGTATGTCACTGACACCATTTTGAGCATTCATATCCCTACCAATAATCGGGATATGGAAATGTCACTTTTCTTTGTCGCTAGGTTGTGTTTGTGAATAGCAGATGATGATTATTATAGGGTTGCTGTTGAAGCTAGCTATGATGATTCTGGGTTCAATTTCTTCAGTGTTCATGTGTGCTTTTATAGGCTAATGAACTGAGTAACATGCCAACACTGCCAATGGTAGTACTTGTAAAAAAATTTTTTTTTTTTTTTTTCAAGCCGAGGCTGAGATGAAGACCCAGCCTTTCTTAATATAGTGATGTTTGCAGGATATTGCTGGTGAGCAAAACAACACCTTGAATGTGATCTCCTGTTCTGGACACCTAGCCATGGAGTAGGACATGTTGGTTGCCCAGCAATGTTATGACAGAATGCCACACTTATGACCTTCCAACCATGATAAACTCAGGAATATCCGAACTAGCTCAACTGGGACACACACACACAGTTGAAATCTCTGGGGCACAATGAGAAAAGAGGGCTTGGAGAATTTAATACTTGCAGGACATATTGAAAGCAAGAGAGACAGGAAAACAACAAATAACCTACCTAACGAGCTTGTGTAAATAGCTGGTAGAACAGAGATTGGGAGAAATAACATGGATAAACTTTACTAAGAGCTACAAAAGACAGGAAGTTGTAGATAGCGATGATCGCCCATATCCTGAAGGTACATGACACATAGATGATTGAAACTATTGGAATACTGACCTGATATCAAACTACAATGCCTACAATACCCCTTTTGAGTCAGAAGTGGAAAGGACAGATAGGGAAAAGTGCATGGACAAGAACAGATTGAAAGCTGTTGAGATATTCATGATACTATATTGTTTTATACTCAGAACATGATTAAAATAGCAATTTATTACAGTTCAGTTGTAAGTGCCTTTAATTTAAAATATAGTGTAAACACATGAGACACTCACCCAAGCTTTTCACCAACAGGCCAATAATTACCTCATGTTACATTTCAATTCTTGATTTGACTGTTGTGCACTGAACGCTAGGCAAGGGGCTGCTGTATACTCACAAGGTACCAAGATTAAAGGCAAAAGCCACATGGAATAACATGAGCCCTATTTCCCCATATGATAAAATATTTTTATTTAGGGCTTTGCTTGGTCACCATCAGGTAGATGACACATGAGACAACTTTGCTATGTCAGTTATTATAATTTTTAATATATATATATATACACACACACACACACACACACAAGTGAATCATTTAGATACTAAATAGATAAAAGTAAGTTGAGAATTTAATATATGGAAAAAATATACTGCCTAGATAATGGAATATTTATTCAACTAATGTCAGTTTACATTCATTTTTGGCCACAATTGATCGAAAGTATTTTCTTGTTCCATGCACATGATTATATTATAGATTAAGCCTCAGACAAGTTAGCCATCCAATGGAATTATTGAAACGATTAGATACATAGCATTAACCAATTATTTTCCACAGATACAAATTTATTTATATGAACTGAATATCAAGTTAAGATTGTGATAATATTGTTTAGGCTTAGCATTTGTTATTGTCATTGTATTTTTATTTTCAGCAATGTTTCTTTTTGCTTGTATTTTTTTTTTTTTTTTTTTTTTTTTTGCTTCCACAAACTGTCTATTATTTTGTTTGACTATGTTTTTTTTTATCCAATCAGGTGGCCGATATTAACCCCAAAATGGACATAGATGGATCCCCCTCTGTTAATTGTTATGTATATCTTAATTTTTTGTATTAAACAAATAGAATTTCCTGGATATTTTCTCAAGAACTGCAAAATTGCTTAAGACTTGCTTGATCAAATTCATAAAAAAAGTTGTTTCTGACAACACCTGTTTTTTTTAAAAAAAACAAACAAAAAAAACAGCAATTTCTCTTATCTTTAATTATATGTGGTATATTAAAAGGTCTTACTTGGACTTCTTGCTATAAGTTTAAAATAATTTTGCTTTTTTTTTTTTTTTTTTTTTTAATCTTTGAATTAACAGGGATTTTATACTTGCTTATCCTTTTCCTCTTGTATAAAAAAAATGCAAAAAAAATAAATAATATGAAAAAAAAATTATTCTTATATTTCTTTTTCACATTTGTCAAAAAACCTTGACAGACCTCAAACGATATTGTATGTTAGTATTCCTTATATTACTTTTTTTTTTTTTTTACTCCGCATCTATAAATATAAATTTTAGATTTTTTTTTTTTTTTTTTTTTTTTTGCAAAACATGTAGAAATCAGAAATTAGGTTTTATATATGCTGAAAGCATAGTAAAAACTGGCTAAAAAAAATTGTATCCCTTGATTAACATGAGTAATCCCCACCATGACCACCAATGTTACCCAGTATGTTGAAAGTGTTAAATTAAATCCAGCAATGATAAAAATTATAATTGATCCACGATCAATTGTTAGCAACTCAAAATATTTCAATTCACCAACTCTATAAAGTGTTTGATATTCTTGTAATTAAATCATTTTGTCAGATTTAATCCATATTTTCAATTCATATTCTTGTAAAACAACAGATGTGAAATAAATATTTATTGAATACAGAAAAGTAGTTTGAGCAATGTTTATTTTAAGAGAATTTTCCAAGGTCATTTGAGCATTTCCTGATCAAGATTAAAAACCCATTTCAAACCATCTTTTTGCTTGCTGTGAATGTTTTTTAATGTCCATGAAATAGGCCATGTGTTTTGACAATTATTATCTTGGTTGTAATTGGAATTCACTTTATATTTCAATTTTCTATCTTAATTATTGCAATTTTATTGCATTTATATTGCATACATACAGATGCAACTTCAACATGTACACTCTACTCGTCTGCTTTCAACAAAATAGTTCTCTAGAAAATTTATATTGAGACAACCTACTTTGTGTGAAGAAAAGGAATGGTTGTTGGGTCTTGGTGTGATGAGATTATAGAAGTGTTTCAAGGTATATTGTATTATCCACCCCCACTTTCTCTTAATCATTATGCACAGTATTTTAATTCCTTGAGAAAGCTCTGATAAATGAGGAATAAAAATCGGTCAGTTGATTCAATAGAAGGCTACATTTGGTATAAAGAAATCAATTTACTTTTATATAAAATCAATTTGTAATACTTGATTTTCAATGTTTTTTTTTAGATAATCAATTTCATTGCACAAACATCACACATCCAACTTTTTCAACAATTCAGTCAGGATTCTAGGGGTTTAACTGATGAAATTTCTTAACAACATAGCTGGATCCCCTGTGTTAATTGTTATGTGTTGTTGTTGTTGTGTGTGTTGTTGTTGTGTTGTTTTTTTTAAGTTCAAATGAAAAACAAACAAACAAACAAACCAACCAACCAGCAAACATTAATCTCATTAAAGAAGGTTAAGGGATTGAATCAGCTGAAATGTCATTAATTTTTACAAGTTAGTCGTTCATCTTATTGTTGTCTTACACTCAACTGTTTAACAAGGATCAGAGATAAAGTAACCTCCAATTAGATTTGGATTTACATCCTGCATCTTTAGGGACCTTTCTTACATGGATGATGCTTTACTGATTTGATCCTGGAATCCAACCCACAGGTAAGGATAAATTAGTTATAGAGCTACACCTTTCTCTTCTATTCTCTCCATATTAGTGACTGATAATGAGGGGGCTATGCTGATGACATATACATATATTGGAGACTAATGATCTTAAACAAAATAAAAATCAACATCCTCTACCAAGTGTTTCAAGAAGTAGGACTCCAGACAAACCTAAAACAGAAACCAAGGTGTGAAATTGGAATGAAAACGGTGATGGCACCTAATCTAAATCCATCATAAAAATTCAAAATGTGGAATTAGTAAATACTAAACCCTTCAAATAACCTTGGTGTATGGATCAGTTAGAACAAATTTAGTATAAGGGACAAGGAAATTGAAAATCTGCTATGCTAAGGGTAGTTTTGTCCAACACTAAGTTGCTACAAAATATATTAATTAATATTCAAGTTTGACCAAGACTTTCGCATGGATATCATGCGTGATGCCCAAACTATTCCACAATGTCTAAATTGTCAACTCTATACAGCTTATTTCTCATATCATTGATGAAAAATAGTTTCAAGTGTAGGTCTTAGAGAGGGCCATCCTCCTTGTGGACTGGTGCTACAGAATCACAAAGAACTGGACCAAATAAGAGAAACATTGAGTTCTTTCATAAACGGCAACAACTAAAATAGATATCACATGTAATGCAAAGAAAATAATGACCTAATCAAGGAGTTAACACTTCATATTACTTCAAACAAAAAGTTAGGAAGGAAGCTTCCATCAATACTGGAATTGTTGATAACATTGGACTTGAGAAACCTATTTTGAAAATTTGTTTCAAAAGAAAGATTTTATAAATTGAAAGTAGAACTAGCAATTCATTGAATGCCAAATGTTTCTATACAAGGAAACGGTTAATATTACCATGAGAATATATTCTACACTTGGTATTCACTTGTCCCCTGGCCCTTCCATTGATGGCATATAGGCACAAGGCCATTTTAAAGTGGGAAGCCAAAGTCAGTGCACATAGGCTAAAGCCAAAAAATCATCCAGTCCTCGCAACAAATGTTACGCTGGCATCATTATTACACTGGCCCTTTTTCTGCAATGAGGGAGTTGCTGTCACAGGGTTGGAATCCCTGGGACCAGCATTCCTCATTTATCTGTTGTGTTCTTTCTGAAGACAGAAACACAATTGAGATAACAAATCTACTTTGTCCACTCAAAGGCAACTACTACACTTAGTATTTACTTGCTGCCCCATGCTGGCAGGATGTGACACAAGGTCAATTTATGTAGGGGTGCCTAATGCATGCACCAGAGCCAGGTCCCAAAATAGCCGAAGTCCTATAACTGTTGGTTGCACTGATATTGGTATTACTTCTGAACACTCCTCTTTTAGTGCAATAAGAGAGGTAATGTCGTGGGTAGCTGTTCCCCAAGACTAGGCACCTCTCGGTAGTATTATCAATTGTTCTCTTCTGAAGACTGAGTTGCATGTTATCCAAAGACAAAAACACAATTGAGAGATAAAACATAGCTTATCCACCTGAAGGCAGATACTACACTTTGTTCCGGTACTGATTGCCAGGAAGTCAAGAAAAGTCTACCTGAAGTGGCTCTGGATGTTAGATCACTGAATGCTTAATGTTTCAATATAAGGAAACAGCTAATCTGACTATTACCAATAGAAATGAAGAGAATAGATACTACACTTTGATCCCAATCTGATGGCCAGAGAGTGAAGAAAAGAGTTACTCAAGTAGTACTGGCTGCTCAGTGAGTGAATATCAAATGTTTTCATATAAGGAAACAATGAGGATTTCCTGACCATCTAGTACCACTAGAAGTCTTATTTACTGAAACTTTCCTATTGAATCTTCCTTGTTACAAATTCTTGATGATTTTATCTTTCATCTTATTACTGTAGCTTTTTATCACAACACTAACTTTATTATAAGTACTGCAATTTTTTTTTTTTTTCCTCAGTGACATCTGAATTCACATTCTATGTTTTTAAGTGACTATCCATTAGTGCTAGCATCTTCACCAATTTGTCTTTAGGGATCAAGCAACAGGCTTAAATTTAGTCATTTAGCAAGATTATTTCTCATTTCATTTTTTTTTTTTTTTTTCTTAAGGACTTATTGCTTGTTTCTATTTAATGTATGTAACAGGGCACAGTTTCAAATGACATCAAAGATCATTTCTTTGTTTGATTTGTCCTGATTACTTAATGATCAGAGAATGAAAAATTACTCGAATATTGGGATAAATAGTTTTATTTTATTAATGTCACTATTTGAAGTTAATAATGAAAGCTTCAGACAATTTCAGTAGAACCATCACAAACAAATAAGGTGGAAAACAAGATGAAGACGTAAAAATTTTCATTGAATAACTTATCTCAAGGGATGTGTGGGTGGTTCTATGGTTAACAGCTTGGAATGAAAAGTCTGCAAGCTGAGTTCAAATTCCAGCCAAGCTCATTCTTCACTATTGCACAAATACCTTTTTTTTTTTTTTTTTTTTTTTCCTCCTCTTCCTCCTTTTTCATCAACCACCACCACGCAGGGGGATAATGCCACTAAGACGCTTAACTTTGGTGATCTTACGAGAATTGGTCTTTCAGCGTGATATGGCTGGCCGTAAGTTTTTTTCCCTTTTGAAATGGGTAGTGCATTGTGAAAAGTGTTATCTGACTGATTTGAAATTGGTGAGATCCAAGTTTCACTCAAACAACTTTCCACAAACCATGTGGAATCAGTGATGCATTTCTGATCACTATAATCTTAACTTGTTCAAGTCTAGGGTTAACAGTTATCTTTTACCCTCTATCCTCATAACCTGTGCTCGTTATCTCTTGCTCTATAACCCTCTACTTCGAGTGGCTCTTGGGACTTGTACAGGGTGAACATCATTGTAAAAAAAAAAAAAAAAATGTTGTGGGACTGTTTGATAACACTGGTTGCTGTAAGCAACCCCCTACAATCCCAAATATATTTTAGCTTTAAATAAACCACCAAGAGTTGTTAAGCCATAAAAAAAAATCAATCCACCAAATACAGGTGTTCTGAAAAATGTTATTGACCTCTGTCATTTGTGGACAAATCCAGTAATTTTGCTTGCATATTTTTTTTTTTTTTT